ANTCCTCCCCAGCCGCACACCTCAACGACCACCAGCACCACCTCCACCAACAACAACATCACGAGCAAGCAGAGCACGCAACAATGCCGTTTGCGATTCCTCCGCCGAAAAAGGCAACGACGACAACTCCACCTGCGGCGGCGCAGGGCACGCTGCAACTTCACAACCCACCACCACCACCACCACAACTCCATTTCCAGCAACCGCAGAACCAACCCCATCACCCCCACTTTTATCACCAGCAACAACAACACCATTATCACCACCATCACCACCATCACCATCACCATCACCTACAGAACAAGGGCCCTCAGCGACCGGTGCTGCGGGAGCTGGCCCTGGATGGAAATCCGTTGGGCCAGGGGGGCGTGTTGGCGTTGATGCGGCTGCTGCAGGTAGGAGGCGGTTGGGGGTGGGGTGGCGGGTGAGGGGAACATATGCATGGAAAGGAGGGGAAGGGGGGGGAAGGTCACGGGGGGGGTCAGGGATGTGTATTTGTGTGTTTGGGGGGTGAAGGGGATGGTGGATGGAGGAGTGTGTGTGTCTGTGTTGTGCGATGGGACACGGGGGGTCATAATGGCCGAGTGCCGACTGACACGGGAAATTCCGGGTTTTGCTGCAGCACGTTTGTCTGTACGTCTGTAACTGCTTGTGGGAAGTGAATGAGCTCTTGACGCGCGCGGCAAGGATAAAACAACGGGGCAGCAAGTCCGAGTGGGTCGCGGGGGAAGGGAGGATGGTGATTCAAAGGAGGTGCCAGAACTTCCGGAACCATAATAACTGTCTTCTAACTGCCTTGACCGTTGACCGCCATCAACCACTTCGCAGATCAACTCGACCATCAAGTCGCTTTCGTTAGCCAACGTCACGCTAACCGCCCTTCCCGGGGAGCCCCTGGAGTTGGATCCCAACCACCCTAACGGTCATTATTCGTTGGATCTGGCCGACCCGGAGCAGCGCAAGGTAGGTGCTGGGTGGTTGCATGTTATTAGGTTGTCAGTTGGTGATGGTGTGTTGGGGTGAAGCTCTTAGAGCAGGCATCGGCAAACGCTTCCTAGCGGTTTATTTTGGAAAGGTGTCAATGTCACACATACCCTATTGTCACAAGGCAAGGCACGGCAAGACTAGGTAACATACCAAAACCTCCCGCTCCCTCCCTCCTCCTCTCTCTCTCTCTTCTTTCTTTCCCCCCCTCTCTCTCTCTCACACACACACACACACACAGACACACACAGACACACACAGACACACACAGACACACACAGACACACACAGACACACACAGACACACACAGACACACACAGACACACACATCCTCCTGCCCTCCACCCCCACCCCCACCCCAGGCGGCCGCCACCCTGGTGTCTCTGTGGCATTCCTCCCGGGGCTCCTCCTGGCTGTCCGCCAGCCTCAACAACGCGCCCGTACACCTGCCCCGAGCCGCCGCCGGCTGCATCTCTCCCTCCGGAACGGGCAGCTGGCCAGAGTGGGTACGACCGCACCTACGATGGCCTGAAGCCATGCCAGGAGAAGGCACACTGGTGGTTTCGGTGCGGAATAACGCATCCTTGGAGCCGTCTCTGCTGACGCCCCCGCCGCCGGCGCCGCCGGCGCCAGCACCGCCGGCTGAGCCGGCCGCCGCGGCGGCGGCGGTAGCGCCGCCGGCGCCGGCGCCGGCGCCGGCTGCCCCTGTGGTGGTGCCGCCGGTGACTCTTAGCCCTGCATTGTTGGCGGTTCTCATTCAGGCGCTCGACAATCCTGCGTCGAGTGAGGTGGGTGGCTGAGTGGGGATGCCCGTGGTGACCCATGGGTCAGTGGCGTGGCAGCTGTCGTCCTGCATTGCGGATAGGACCACCCTTGGACCATTAGTTCGTTGGTGATGTAACCGCCCGGAACATGATCGGTTCAGCTCGGTTCTATGCATTCCCAGGGCATACATACATACGCACGTACAAAGACACACATACACACACACACACACGCATGCAACCCAACGGACAAGCATGCGTTTTCCCCCTCCTCTCCCCCCCATTGACATCCCTTCTCGCCCAAACCTTCTTATGACCCATTCTATCTGCCAACATCCTGCTTAATGTGATCAGGTTTGGAAGACCCAGCTCCTGATGTTGACCACCAAGATCGCCTACGTGACGAGTGAGCAGGCGGGGCGGCTGCTGGGCCGCCTGCGTTACCGGGCGGAGCGAGCTGACGCGGCCGCCACCCTGCTGTCCGCCACCCCGGACCTGCACCGCGCGCCCTGGGCGCTGAGGACCTTTGCCAAGTTCGGACCTGACGATGTGGCGGAGCTGTTGCAGGTGGGCGGTGTGTGTGTGTGTGGGGGGGGGGGGGAAATAAAGGGAGGGGTTGGGGTTGGTGGGGATGAAGTGCCTTTCCCCCCTCCCTTTTTTTCCTGAGTGACGGCTCAATCCCCTCAGGATGTAGCGACAACACGACTTCTGATCCACTTTCCCGCTCCACTTGAAACCCCTTCCCCCCTTCCCCTTTCGACATTCCCCCCTCCCCCGCCCCGTCCCCCGCCCTTCTCAATCGGGTCTTGGTTTTCAGGAGCTGAGTCTGGCCCCGTTGCTACCCCTCCGTACACGGGTGGTTAACGGTTGGGATAGTTGCTGCTCGGGACACATTCGGCTGGACCTGGCCCAACAGTCCCATCGCCTGCTGGCCATCTTGCTCGTCCAAGTGGCGCATCGGGACAGTGGCGCTCCAGGGTGGGCTCACCCCCAGGCGGCAGCGGCCGAGGAGGAGTTGTACGGCGCACTTACGGCACGACTGGGGGATGCCACGTCATGCATGCGGGACATCACGTTCTCTGGATCGCCGTTGGGACACAGCGTGGTGAGTTCCGGAGGCGGCGGTTCCGGAGCGGAGCGTCATGGTTTCTTTCGGATGGAATCCGAGGAGGCGCGTGTCAGTAGAGGAGGGAAAGATGAGCAGTGGACCTGAACCTGGTGCACGTTTACGCATGAGGGGCAACCCCAGCCGTCCTGTGGTGGGCATGCAGCCTTGCGAACGCGCTGCCCTGCTTCCGGCCGTCTTGCATTACCATTGCGGATTGCGACCAAATGGATTCGTGGCTGTGGCTCGTCGTGTCGCTGCCATAGCCCGCCGCCGCATTGAAGTCCTTGAATCATACACACCGACAGACAGACAAAGAGACAGACAGACTGACTGACTGACTGACTGGCTCACTGACTTGCTCACTGACTGACTGACTGACTGACTGGCTCACTGACTTGCTCACTGACTGACTGACTGACTGACTGACTGACTGACTGGCTCACTGACTTGCTCACTGACTGACTGACTGACTGACTGACTGACTGACTGACTGACTGACTGACTGACTGACTGACTGACTGACTGACTGACTGACCCACAGACACAGACGCATGCGTGCGTGTAACCTGACCCCTCCCCCCTTCATAGCTCTTCGTAGCAATACCCCGCAATGTTTTGCAAATCCGCACACCGAAGAAGAGGCTTTGCAACGTGGCGGTTTCTTAATGCCCCTCCCCCCTTTTTCTCCCGCCCTAAGTTAAATAAAAGTCTACCTCCTCGCTCCTCCTGGGGCTCTTCTCCATGCCTCCCCACCCCCCTTCCTTCCCCTCGGGTTTGGTTGTCCAGATCTACCTGAGCTCCGCTAACATCCCCACTCGAGGTATTATCGACACGAACTTTGTCAATGTACGGCCCCGTACACACGTCACGTACCCCGGACTTGGAATGGGCAGGGAGCGGAGGCAGGTGCGCGTGAAGAGGGGGTGTGAGGGGGGGAGTTTGGGGAGTTAAAACGGAAAAGCGAGGAAATAGCAAAAACTGCACCGCAGATACACACAGACAGTCACACAGACAGACACACAGACAGACACACAGACAGACACACAGACAGACACACAGACAGACACACAGACAGACGGACAGACATCATCGTGTGTATGTGCGCATGAGTACGGGGTGCTTTACATACTAACGCGCAACTCCCAACCGGCCACCCCTGGAGTTCGCCGCCTCTGGACACATCACACCAGGCTTCGTAATCCCTTAAATGCTGGTGGGAATCCAGTGGCCATTTAGATGACCCTCCTCCCCACCTTCGTCCCCCGTACCCACAACGTACCCCGGGCCCCATATTGGGACCCCTCATGGGATATTTTCCCTTTTTTCCCTTTCCCCCTTTTGACTTGGCATGTAATCCCTTCCCGGCCCCCCCAGGCACCAAGCATTCTCTCTGGCAAGCAATCCTCGGGGCCAGTGACAACGCAAACAAGTAGCAACACGGCGGCGACTACCGCCGCCGCCGCCGCCACCACGGCCGCCGCTACCCCCGCGGCCGCTGGCCCCATTCCCGCCGCGTCCTCCGCCACCAGCGGCGTCTCGTCGTCGGCTGGTACGACGGCAGCAGTTGCCGCCGCAGCTGTTGCCGTCAGTGGCTTTAGCAACAGCGGCAGCGAAGCCGCCGCCGCCGCCGCCGCAGCTGCGGACGCTGCCAGCAGCCGCAGCAGCGCCACCTCAAGCCGACAGTCCGTGTCCTTGACGGGGACGGCGGCGGCGCCCTCAGTGCCTTTGACAGGTTCGGCCTCCGCCGCCACGACCACCACGTCCACGCCCTCCGTGAATGCCGGTGTGGTGGTGATGGAGTCATTGCGTCTGGCTGCTACTGCCATATCCCCCTCTTTGGCGCTGAATGCCGTGGTCAACAAGAAAAACTGGTGGGCTCGGGTTTTAGAGGTTTTAGGGTTTTAGGGTAGGTAGTGGAGATCTGAAGGTCGGGGCCCCCGAGCACGCGCAGTACAAGTCGTTAGCGGGTTAGGGCGTGGAGGGGGGTTGGGGCTTTTTAGGGATGGAGCGGGGCTCCCGGGGGAAGGGGGGGAGAAAACCGCGGGGAGGCGTGTGTGGGTTTTATTTAGGTTGTGGGACGCCGGGGGACATGGACATGGACAAACCGGGCGCAGGACGCATCACGTTATGGGGGGGGGCCCGAGGGCGCTCTCCTGTTGTGAGCGTGTGTGTGTCGGGGGGAGGGGGCGAACAGGACGCATTACACGCACATACAGACACACACATACAGACACATACGCCATACAATGGCATCTTTTTACTTTCGAAGGGCTTTTGGAGGGCTGTGCGCTTCTTTGTGTTGCCCTTTGAATCTTGTCAAGTGTTGTTACGGTTGTCGTGTTTGTTGTCGTATAACAAACAAACAGGTGGCAGCAGTACTTGAGTGCCTGGGAGACTGTGTTCATGGAGGCGCTGTTGAGGCTGGGGCTGCCACACAGCCACTCGTCACTTGCAGGGTGGCGCCAGGCGAGCAGCGTGTGGAAGGTAGGGAGGCAAAAAAAAGGCGGGGGGTTACGGGGGGTGGGGTGCTCCCCCCTTGCCACCCTCTCTGGTCTCCCCTGTCAATGTGTGATGTGTGGGACAGGGGGCATATCTTCACCCGTGGCCGCTACCCGGCGAAACCCTGAGCCTTCTCCGGTATTTCGGGGCACTCTCATCCAGTCACCCCTAGCCAACTTCTCAGTGGATCGCTTAGGGAGGTAAGCACACACCTCCGGCGGCTGAACAGCGTTCCTGGTCCTTTGTATACCAGGTCCTTACCGTCCATCGACTAGGGGCACTCTCACCTTCCACTAAATCGGAAAAAGATGCCACCCTGACTGGTCTTGATCCCGGAACCTCCGAGGGCGTTGGAGTGTGCGTTAGCAATAGTGCCTGAACTAGCGTGCAGGAACATGGAGGAAAGTGGAGGTAAGTGCGGGAGCGCTCTCCACTTGCGGTACACAGTACGACAATGGGCCTCGGGACGAGGGAGCCACCATAGAGTAAAAGGCCCTTTAGAGGCGCCCTGAGCCCACTCTTCCTGCCTGTATGTACTTCCAACCAAATCAACGCCGACCAACTCCCAACTCCCCATCATTCCCTGACCAATCTCAATAACGTTTGTGTCCTCCCCCCCGCCCCCCTATTCCCTCCCCTCCCCCCTCCCCTTTATTCCCCCCTTCCCCCCTCAGGGCCATTACCGCACCTTCTCCTCCAGGTTACACTCGGAGGCGCAACACCGCCACAGGGGGTATGTGCCTGCCGTACGACGGAGGAGCACCCACGAGGGGGAGGGCAACGAAGGGGAGGCAGGACCTGGCAAGGCTGGCAAGAAGGGCGGCGGCAAGAAAGGTGAATGGATGGAGGGGTCAACACGGCGAGGGGTTGACCTGGCGGACCGCAGCAGCATCTTTTCAATATATTTACGGTATCCCTAAAGTGTAGTTGCACGTTCAATGAGGTGAAGGATGGGAGGGCTCGGGGCTGGGGTGGGTGGGCTGGGGTCGGGCGGGGTGGGAAAATAAAGAGGGAGACAACCAGGACGAGTACGGCAACGGGGTTTCGTACGATTGTCGCAGACGATTTGTACACAAGCGTGAAAGTTAAGGTGTAGCTGAACGACCCCTAGAACTCCCCTCACACCCCAAACCTGTACGAGCTGCAACCTCCGCCAACCTTATTAATGATAAGTCAACACCTCGCGTGGATGGTTGCGTGCAGATGGAGGCGGGAAGGCAGGTGGTGGAAAGAAGGGCGCGGGCAAGAAGGGCGGTGGCACCGACAACGACGACGCGGCCGCCGGTGGGGCCGGTGGCGGCGGCGGCAAGGCTGGTGCCGGCGGCGGCAAGAAAGGCGGCGGTAAGAAGGGCAGCGGCGGCGGCAGGAAGGGCGGCAAGAAGGGCGATGCTGACGGCGGCGGCGGCGGCAGTGGGCGGTGGGGCCCCGGCGTGGATGCCCCCACTCTTCGCATGTTGAGTTCCCTGGAGCAGAGGGCTCGCCAGCTGGCCCCCCTCATGGTGAACTTGGCGTGTGGGGTCAGCCTGTCCACCTTCCAGGTAATGGGTTGGGACAGTTGGGACGGTTATTGCAGTTGGGGCAGTTGGGTGCAGGGGCTGGGAGTTGGGGTGTATGCTCGTTACTGCCGTCATTGAGTCGCCGTCATTGAGTCGCTTCCGGTCCGCCTGCACCCGGGGCCCCCTCCCCACCCCTTCCTCGGGCCCCTCCCTGCTTGGGTGGGTGGGCGGTTTGACGACGCGATCTGTTAAGTTGGTAATGGACAGTTTGCTGTCCTGGGTTTGATCCTCTGGCCACTTTACCTTCCTTCCCTTCCCCCTCTCTCAGGTGCTCCACATGTTGCGGCTGCTACCGGACTTTGAGCTGCGGGTCCAGGTCTTGGTGGCGCTGTGGCCTGCAATCTGGGTGAGCGTGGCCGTGGCTGTGGGAGGGAAGGAGGAAGGGGAAGGGGAAGGGGAGAGGGAACGCACAATATCAGTTATGCAAGAAAAAAACCGGCATCGCAGTAGCAGTAGCAGTAGCAGTAGCAGAAGTGCAAGAATGAGGAAATAAACGAATCTTGAAGAACCAAAAGGTTATCGCTTTCCTCTCCCTTGGCATCTGGAGAGGGTTGTTCGTGTGTGCGTGTTTGGGTGTTCTAGAAGGATTAGCGCCGTGTCGATACGTCTGCGTGTCTGTACGCATGTCTGTACACCTGCCGCGTTCTGTGTGTGCGCGTGTATGTATGTACCGCACGTTTACGCCAAGGGAGCCACGTTTGCTCGCACACGGGAACCTACCTATACGCCTGTGTGTGTTTTGCCGTACAGGATCGTGCCAATGTAGTGGATCTAATCATGGATCTGGATCACCCAGTGGCGCTACCCCCCCAGCCGCGAAAGGCCGGGGCCGAGGGAGGGGGTGGCCCCCAGCAGCAGCAGCAGCAGCAGCAGCAGCCGGGTGCTTCAGGGGCCCCGGCCGACAGCACTGCACCCAACGCCAACACCAGCACCACCACAAACAACGGCACCAGCAGCAGCACCATCAACAACCGAGTGAGTGGGTGGTTGAGGCGGTTGAGTGCATTGATGCCCCTTTTTTCCGTACAGG